CTTTAACGTTGTCATACGTTCTGCACTCTTTGGTTGTTTTATGTTAAAACTATCCACTCCCACTTATAAGTAAAGGAACTTTAAACCTTGTTATATAAAACTTTATATAGGTTGCATTTTGAGTGATTCCTAATAGCATAATTTCCACGCTTAATAAAACACTGACTTAACTCAAAAAACTAGATATATCTATACTAATATTATAAAGAGGTAAAGTTTGTGGGGTTGTGAATTTGTGAAGTTATAGGGGGTAATCTCTGGATCTACTGAGCCGATTTAGCGTATGATTCGTTTTGTGTTTTTAATTGTTTTTCGACCTAAGTTGTAATTGGTCAGTTTTTTATTATGCGTGTGATATTATATACTAGCAACTTACGCTAGCCTCGCTCGGGTTCGTTCCTAGGTGCTTAACAGTAAGTAGTAACCTATGTGGTACTCCAGATACATGGCCTATCTGTGCATTAAATAAGTTTCATTCGAATCCGTCCAGCAGTTGCGACGTAAAGGAGTAACAAACATACAAACATAATGATATTTCGATAAAATATAGTTATTGTAGGCAAACAATATCGCACTCTTGCTTCTTAGTGCCTGGCCTTTATTTATTTTTAACTAGTTTTCACTCGTGACTTCGTCTGCAGTAAATTAGTTTATGTGTTAATCCATAATATGAGCTATCTGTCGATAAAATGCGAAAGTAGAAATTATTCAATCACGACCACTTTCATGGACTATTCTTTGTCTTATGAAGCATGAACGATACTTTCGTTTATAATATGTATGTATGTCGGTACATCTGGGGGAAACATCTCGTGCTATAAATGCTTTCTGAGACGTCTTTTTTTGACATTAACACACAGCACCATCTAGTTCGATGGTAAGCTATGAGGTCTGTGCTATGGATACCATATAGTTGATACGCTACACATATATAACTTTAAATATATTATATATACTTATAAATATCTATCATATTTTTTGCTATCAATTTTGTCAAATAAAATTTTATAGCTTTAGTTATAGTGCTTCTCGCATTCTGTTATAGCACATCTAGAACAACTGTGCACTAGCTAAAAAGGAATTTTTAGTACATTAGCAAAATATTATAAAAGTATTTTGGTGCTTAGTTCTATGGAGCACCTTAATTTCATTTCTGTGTAAAAAAATATTTTTTTTATTCAGTTTATATTATATTTTCTTCAAACAAGCTTTTTTATGTTTTGAATATAATTTACTTTAAAGAAATAAGCATTGGAAAAAATATTTCTATTATAGAAAATGAATAATAGTGACTAAAGGCGCATTGATCCATGACAAACTTATGAAATCTTATTGTTATAACGTTTTTATAAAATTGATTTTAACTATGTAACCGTCTTTTAGATTGTATATTTTAAATAATTGTAAAACAGAAATACAGTTTTCTTAGATTTTATTCTATTCAATGCCTTTTTTGTTACCGAATATGCTACGCGTTATTTAAAGGAACTAAGTATTTGTGACATTTTACATTGAAATATCTTCTGTGTCTGTATTATATGTTGGAACAAGTTGCAAAAAGTAGTAATTCATCTTTTTTCTATTACATTCAATAAAATGCACTGAACACCGGTTTTTATTGTGCATTCTTCTTTATGTTGTGTAAGACAAACAAGTACATATAGTAGGGGTGAACTATATATTAATGCTGCGCGGCTCACCTTCGCTTCGCTCGGGTTCGCCCAGAAAAACACAAATTATCCCACGGGAAGCGTACATTTTTTCGGAATAAAAAGTAGCCTTTGTGCTATTCTAGACTATCTCTGTGCCAAATTTCATCCAGATTCGTTCAGTCGTTCTGGTGTGATTGAGTAACAAACATCTAAACATGCATCTAAACTTTTACATTTATAATATTAGTAAGATTACCTAATTTCTAACCGGCTTCCAATATGGAGGATTTTTTTTTGTATGAACACACATAAGGTAACTAGTAAATGCTAACTAATTTCATTTTAATAATCGATTTCGTGAAAATCTGGTTAGTTCAAATTGTATTATAAAGCTATCACGAGGTAGTTCCATGTATGTATTGGCAAGCAAAATTGAACAATTAATTCAATTTTAACATATTTATAGTCAAAATATTAAATATTTTATATACCAATTGTTAATTAATCCATCTAAATACAAATATTTATTTGTTTAACCTTGTAATGGGTGGCCGATTTGAAAAATATCTGATTATTTTGTACATATAGTGCTCCAATCAGTTTTTTCTTAATTTTTAGTACATAAAAGTCGGTTTACATTTAGCAGGAAACATTTTATATTTAAAATATTAATAATAAAAAAAATTGTATGAAATGCATATTTATAAGCTATCATTATATATGCAGATATTTGATAATTTTTCATTGCATGTGTTTTTTCTTAACTTACTATTGACGTGGTAAAGGAATATAAGTATAAGTACTTTTATTTTTTTTTAATTTTATTTGCAATTTAGATTATGTACTACATTGATCAATACCTAGTTTAATTGGCCGTTTTATTTTCCTCAACAGCGGCCTAGTGTTTTAATTAAAATAGACGGAAAACTAATACGATAATTGCAGAAATCATGAAGATTGATTAATGCTGAGGACATATAATGTGTTTTTAATACCGTTTAACAGTATTGCTTCATTCGAATACATGTATAATAATTTTACGACGTTTTTATTGCCTCTATTTACTAGCTGGAATACTCTAGTGTGACCTCGTAAATAATATAACACAGACTTATTGTTTGAAAGAGGTTGTATGTTTAGATTTTTGCGTAGGATTAATCTTAATAAAATCAACTTAATTAAGAAATGTAGAGCCATGACAGCACGTCAGTCTGTCTATCCAGCTCATCTCAGTAATATTATAAATGCGAAAGTTTGGATGGTTGTTTGTTACTCAATCACGCCAGAACGGTTGAACGGATCTGGATGAAATTTGGCACAGAGATAGATTATAGTCTGGAATAACACATAGATTGATTTTTATCCCGGAAAAATCTATGGTTCCCGTAGAATAGATTTGTTTTTGTTTATCACTAGGAACGAAACCGAGCGAAGTGAGTTGCTAGTAAGTAAAATAAAATATGAAATTTACTTCACATTAAATTTTAACCCTAGTTGTACGGATTTGTGGGCAATAAAATAAACACAGTTTGCTTAGATGTGACTTCCTCATACTTTATCTAATTCAGTATCTGGATGTGATCCAAGCGCCAGTTGTTTAGGATCTGACTTGGAATCTTCTGTGTTGACATTTTATAATCTTTTACATTAACTATATACGTGACGATCTTTATGTAATGAAATGATTGACCTTTTCTGGCACTTGTTCTTATATTTCTCTTATTGTATTCTTAATAAACAAACTTAAACGGACATATTATTAGAGTAGTAATTTTTTTAAAGTTAAGTGTGACCGTATATGTATTACTTATACCTACGGCTTACATTAAAAACTATAAGAAATAGATTTGGATGTATGTTAAAAATCACAAATCGACAGTGTGCGTATCTATTAATATGGGGATACTAAATATATTACTTTCTAAGTTTCCAAAAAGAGGTTACTTTCTAAATAGTTCGTTCCTGTTTCACTTTTGTCAAATGATCGAGTTTTACAGTTTTAGACTCGAACGATATTTCACCGAGTGATATCCAGGCCAGGCATATTTTGGTCTGTGATTCACAGTTAGTCGACTTGAAGATAGATAGTAGGGCGTTACTTTTTAAATAAAACTATCTTTTCGGATTATTTCGCGGATTTATTTTGATTTTTGGTTTCCGACGTTTCGAATGCTTTACAGCAATCATGGTCACGGGGGAAACTAAGGTTATAGACGTCTCAAAGGTGTTACAATTAAATTTTAGCTGTAATTATTATAAATATTTATAATAATAACGCTAAATTTAAATATATAATATTGCTTTATTTAATTATAATTTTTTTTAAATGCTTAGAAATAAAAATCAACAAATATTGTAAGGTACTTTGGTGCCATTTTTGAAATCATTTTTGTAAAGTAGTGGGTAGGTATTGTCTGTAACAAGTGTATAACTCCTTTGAGACATCTATAACCTAGTCTCTCCCGTGACCATGATTGCTGTAAAGCATTCGAAACGTCGGAAACCAAAAATCAAAATAAATCCGCGAAATAATCCGAAAAGATAGTTTTATTTAAAATATCAAATATTCGCGTAAATCTAAGAAAGTATTAGGCTGTTTCTCACTTGAGATGGAATTACTCTGATTAATTATGATAGTTGTAATTTTTATGAGCGAAGTTAAATGTCATTGTTTCATTATTATATATTTTTATTTTTGTTCCTTTTTTTTTTATATGTAAAACTGTGTAGAGATGCTCTAGAATCGAAATATTTCTCACAAGAGTTCTTTGCGTATATAACATCGCTTATATTGCCTAACAATTTTTTAAAAAATTCCCAAAAAAGAGCTAAATATGCAAAAAATTATTATAATATTGAAATCGCCTGATTTCACGGCTAGTTGTAAAATAACTCTCAATATATATATATTTATACTCTATTCATTCTATTCTAAAGTGCATTTTCTAATAAAAATATAGATTTTGAAATTTAATACCGGTGTACAACTTCATCGCATCGAGACAGCATAATTGGTGCCTTTCTCAGATGATATCTGCTTAATAGATTCATATTGTTTGTATGTAAATCAGTCGATAGAGCTGTTCTATAAGAATATTGACGTGTCAGTAATTGTTGGATGAGAGTTAATAAGTATAGTGTATTATATCAATTTAGTTTGAACCTTTTTTTGTTCTGAGTTCACTCGGAGAGCGTGAGATTATTATATATAATTTGCTTAAATTTAGACTCCTAATTGATATTTATAACCGACTTTCTTAAAAGGGAAGTTATTTGGCTGTTGCTATCACCACTTACCATAAAAGTTATGATGATCATGAAATCTTAATTTTTTTTCTTTCTTTCTAGATATCGGATATAGTAGTTGGACAAGAACCGAACGTCACCGCTCGCGAAGCGCTCCTCAGTTGGGCCCGGCGGTCTACAGCCAAGTACCCAGGGGTCAGAGTGTCCGACTTCACCTCGTCGTGGCGAGACGGGCTCGCCTTCAATGCGCTCATACACAGGAACCGTCCTGATCTGATAGACTGGCGTAATATCAGGTAAGATTTAAAAAGCCTATAGTCTTAATAGCTATTTCGATTTTAATTTTAAGTTACTATACTTTTTTTTAACGTTGGGAAATGCATTTACGCACGAGGTGTGGGACTCAACGGCAAAGCCAGTACTACTCACTAAAACCCAACAAAGCCTTACCCCGTCTTAATGGGGCGTCGCAGGATCGCTTACGCATTCAACTACGACGCCCCGACGGCAGGTCTGCCGAAGCAGACCACAACAACCACGGGGTTGCTCTAAGGTCCACTTTGCTATCAGAGAAGTACCAGGAGCAACCGGCATGGTACACCGCCTCCCGAATAGGGGCAACCTCCCTGTGCGTTTCTTGGCTTCGCGCCCGGCTGTATTGCCGGGTACTACTGAGCCCCCCACCACGACAAGGTGAACGTACGTTGGAGGGAGAAGTTACTATACCTATATTTAGTTAGATGACAGTAAAATTCTACATTTCATAGTTCGGCGCTTTTAAAGTCTCATTGGGCTGATCTTGGGCATGAGCCCTCCCCTCTATGCGAGGAGGATCAGGTCTTAATCCAGCACATCAATATGTGTTGGCAGACTTCACATATTCGGTGAAAATTATTTAGGTTCTCTCAGATTGCAGGATTCCTCATGATATTTTCCTTACCGTAAGGCAAGTGGTAATTATGATGAAAATGATTCGCACATTAAAATCAGAGGCGAATCCAAGCGAAACCCAGAATTTGAACGTACTTCACGATGAAACTGCAGTTTGATATAAAATTTGTCTTATAAAATTGATGCAGTGGAGGAACAAACGCTTAATCTACCATGTCATTTTTCCAACATTTTCATTATAATTTATAAATTTTACTGACCAATATAATTTTATTTCAGATCAAGACAAGTCCGTGAGCGTTTGGAGACGGCGTTCCACGTGGTCGAGAAGGAGTATGGAGTTACCAGGTTATTGGACCCTGAAGGTGAGTCAGTTCTTACCTGAACAATTTTTATAAATTTGTATGATAAACAAATATACGCACGTGCGTAATAAATGAAAGATCACGTAAATATATTACGCTTCCAATTCCTAGTCGAAATCTTTCACTCACTAGTATTTTTCTCATTAATTCCAGCGCTAGTAAACTTGAAGAAAGCAAAAACTTAGTTTTACAGTTAATGGCAATAAAAAATCTAATATTTATAAACTTTCACCATATTCTCATGAAAATTTAGTATATATTGTCTATAAAATTTATCATAGAGACACGTTAGAACACCACAGTGTAATGGCAGTTCCGGATTTAAGATGCCATGTTACTTTGTTTTGATTTAGACGTATCGGGTACGCGCGTATTATAGAAATTTATTACACGTGACGGGCCCGTCCGTCTGTTTCATTGATGGCTTTGTATCGTTAGCCGCGTTTTTTTTTTGTCATAGATCTAATGTAATCAACACCTTGTAGGTGAATTGGGATGGTTTTTGTCAGTTTTTTTGGGAGATGTATGAAATTACTGATAGGGGATTGTGTATTATGGAAAAGGTTAGGAATTCGATTACCATTTTTTGCTTAGACAGAAAAATCCGCTAATGTAGATCATATACATATCTATGCACTATGTAGATGTTTGTATGTGAGTTTCGTGCCGGCTCTTCTCAGCAGAAGTCAGAACTACTTTCCGAGCCGGTGGTAGCCTTCTCACGGACTGACTACAATGACGGTTTTAAAGATTCATAAGTGCTTGTAAAAAGTCTATTTGAATAAAGTTTTGTTTCATTCCATTTCATTTCTGTCGTGGTCTATATTTTAAATCTATCTTTCGAGCGAGATAAATGGTGTCAATAGGTAAATAATACATATGTTTTTAATTTTCTTATTTTATATAAGAAGCATATAATTATAATATAATCATCCAAAAACTTGTTAGGGACCATTTAACATCGAACCGATTGCACTTGATACTATTCAATTGTTACAGTCAGGTCACAGACACATACAGTGTTTTACGAGCCATTGTTCTCTCGTGGGGATATACATACTCGTAGATATGTGATGTCAATGTAATTTGTTTAGGACGTGCATAGCGACACTTGTTAATTATTAATATTGATTTATTAATATCCGGTTTGTTTTTGGTATGCTTTAATTGTAAAGTTTATGGTTAAATTTTACTTTAAAATTATTTATGTAGATTCTACATGGTTTAAAATGCTAAAGTAATAAGTCTTGAATATGTCAAATATTTTGAATATATTGAAAAGGGCTAGGGTCCAACTACGATTCACTCGACCTGATTATGCTGCATATCATTTAAAACCCTTCTCTCGTTTGGTAATCGTATGGAGAGTATCTCTTATGGCGTTTTGAAGCCGTTCATTAAAATGTCTATCAACTTTAATGATAAAAACTTATTTTTTATGCAACTTTTATTTTCAGATAAATATAATATTATAAAGTATATTCTGTGATTTTTAGTTGAATTGCCGTCGAATAGGTCTTGTAAAAATAATTTATATTTGCACATTGTTTGAGTTAGCGTAAATAATTGAGGCAAGGGAGCGATGCAAGCGATAAGCGGCGACGCAACAAAATACTAATCGTCGCAATTTTCGTCCCATTTGTAGTTTTCATGTTGAGGCCGTGATTGAAAGACAATGGGCTAGCCTTTGTTGGTATAGTTAGGTTTCTTTTCATGTATTTATGTACATACTCTGTACATTTTAAAGACAATTTTAGTCAGTTTTAATTGTTTTTTACTCATATTTTGTAAACAAGATTTAGCCTCAACTGAATTTTCTAAGCTATGCATAGTATATTTGTAAGATATTTTTGTTGAAACTTTTATCTATTTTAACTGGCTAAAACTAATCTGTTGTATTTTTAGAGATCACTGTCTATCTACCTATTATTATTGCAGATCTATGGTTTTCCTCAACTAAATATAGGAATTTGACGTAATTTTTATGTAATTTATGTCAGATTTCTAACTCCAGTAGGATTAGCACAGATAGATAACTCGTAGGTTGTTAGGATTCGTCGTTAATACAAGGCAGTGGTAGCCCAGTGGTAACGCGCTCTCTTGGAAAACCGAGCGAAGTGGGTTCAAATCCCAGGCCTCTCACTTCTGATATTCTCATGTGCGAATCATTTTCAACATAATTACCATTTGTCTTACGGTGTAAAGAAAACATCGTGAGGAAATCTACATGTCTAAGAGAACCTGCAATTTTCGAAAGACATGTGAAGTCCACTAACCCGCACTTGTTCAGCGTGGTGGACTATGGTGTGACTGACTATATGGTACTATACTGATCCCCGTCGTATAGAATGGAGGTCCATACCCAGCAGTGGCGCGTTAAAAAGGGTTGAATACACAAATAGTACAGATAAGGTTTATATGTAATTCATTACATTAGGTATAATATTCTTTATGTTTGTTTTCTAGATGTGGACACACACGAGCCCGATGAGAAATCTCTCATCACGTACATTTCATCTCTATACGAAACATTCCCGGAGCCACCCGCGGTGCATCCGCTGTTCGACGCCGAGTCGCAGCGGCGCGCCGCCGCTTACACCGAACAAGCGGCGCAGCACCGCGCCTGGTTACATGAGAAATGCTCGCTTATGCAGGTTAGTTGATACGGTGTGATGTATAGTAAATGGAATAAGGTTAATAAAAATATAAATATGTTGGGACATTAAAACACAGCGCCATCTAGTTCCATGGTAAGCTACGACGCTTGTGTTTTGGATACCAGATAGTTGATACACTACACATATATGTAAAACTTTAAATACATACAGATTATACATATACATTATATACATATAAACACCCATGACTGGAGTACAAACATCTGTGCTCTGGGTCTCGGATATCGGGATTCGAACCCGCGACCGCTGGCACAGCAAGTAGATCACTACAAACTGAACCAAACTTGTCGTTTAAATAAGTCCAAAGTTAAATTTATATTGAAAATCCTAGAGATGCGCTCGAGCAAAGCAGGGTAAGTCGCCAGTAGAAGGTAAAATTAAAACGAAAAATAATGGTAAAAGTTAAAATAATTTCAAGTTAAAATCATATTTTTTAACTAAAAGATAAAGAGTTTGAAAATCGTATAATATAGAAGTAATTAATAATTTAAATTGTTTCTAATATAACATACCAATCTTATTCCACAGGATCGTGCTTTCCCGTCAACTTTGATCGAAATGAAAAAGTTGCTAAGTGAGAGCACGCGCTTCCGCACAGAGGAGGTGCCTCTGCGACAGCGCGAGAAGCAGAAGTTGTTCCATCTGTACCGGGAATTAGAGGTACCTACAGCTTGTTTATGATATACTCGTTATAAATACAGTAAATAGTGTTTATAGGCAATGCCAAAAATTGAAAGTCTCATTATTTCATTATGTCTGTTTGCTCTTTCTAGTATTGGAGGTTCCCGAGCTTTTTCTAATAAATGGAGATGTCAGCCTTAGAGTTGGCAAATATTGAATTTTAGAAGTTCATTTATGTGTAATTGCATCGATTGATTGGTTGGAACGTGATATTAGGTTTGAGATGTTAGACTCCATCGGCCAAGATGTTCTACTGCAAATGATACTTTTGAATACTTTTTTTGTATACTTTGAATAAAAGACATTAGTGCGCCATTAACGTATCTCGAACAGCTTTTTATAGTTAAAAGTATATATAGTTAACAATTTGAATACTTCTTTCCAACAGAAATACTTCGAATCAGTAGGCGAAATAGAAGTGGAGCCAACGCTACGCCCCGAAGCGCTGGACCAGGCGTGGGCGCGCCTGCTGATGGCGGCGCAGGAGCGCGAGAGGGATCTCTCCGACGAGATACGTCGCTTGGAGCGGTTGCAGAGATTGGCGGAGAAGTTACACAGGTACATACTCATACATACATATACATTGTAAGGCTTACGGCTTAGGGCTAAGCCATTTTTAAAAATATTCATTTATTGAGATCCCATACATTTTTCACACCTACACTGCCTCACAGTTAAGACTTTTGATAAAATCATTAAAAAAAGTTGGAACTTGGAAGTCTTGTCAAAATGAAGCTTCTCACGAGAATTCAGCTTGTTGGGCTGTGTCAGCTATTTATCTTACGATAGATGCTTGCATAAGCATATTACAACTGTATTAAAATTTATTTAATGTATTAAAAGTTGTGTTAATTTTATTTAGTCATTCCATACTTATAGTAAAAAACTTTAGAAAAAAGTACCGATTTTGAATTACCTAGTACTTTATCTAGTATAGATTACTACAAACCCAATCGTTTTTGATACAGGGACATAAAACAAACCGAAACCGGCCTCGATAACGTGGAACGTCACATCGAGAGCGAGATCCGTCGCGTAGAACGCGGCGTACACCCGGCCGAAGCGAAAATGGCGGCAGAACAAATAGAACAAGAGCTACGTAGTATGGAGCATACTATACAAGAAATGTTCCAGGATTCACACGCCCTGAGAGAAGGACGGTATCCCCAGGCCAATGACTTATATAAAAGGTAATTTTTGTTATTAAATAATAGTGTTATAAGTTTTAATTTTATGTTTTGTACAAAGTTTTGGTAGGTATAACTTTTTGATTTTTCATTATTTATAATGGTTTGTTTTATTGTTATTACTTGCTTCTCTTATTTGTTTGACGTTCTTTTATTGATAATACATAATGAGACCTAATTTAAAGTAATTACGATGATAATTTGACACGACCGACGGCTTTACGTGCTCTCCTAGGTACGGGGTGAAATACTGCCAACTTCCCAATTCCGGGTTGTTACTGAGAGTTTTTTGATAGAAAAACTCAGTAACTAAACTTACCCGACCCCGGAACTCGAATCCAGGCCCTCTGGACCTGCGGACTGCTAGTTACTGGTGGTCACTGAGGCAGTTATAATACATGCTGTATTATGTAGATCGGTTGAGCAAATGTTTATTTAGCTATAACACAAGTTTTAATCGATTTATCAGAGATGACATATTCCATAATAACACAGCCGAAGGTATTTTGCCACTTACGCATACGCGCGTTTAAGTCCCGTAGTGTCGTCATTATACAATCAAGAAACGCGATTAAAAAGTTTTAGGACATATTGCAAGTATGATTCCAATTTGCAGAGTCCAACAGCTCCACGACAGATGGCTGAACGCGCGTTCGTCGTTCACGGGGCGGCTGCTGCCGCGGCTGTCGTCCGTGCGCCTGCCGGTGCAGCAGACGACGGTGCGCCGCGAGACGCGCACGGTGCTGGAGACGCGCGTGCACGACGCCGACCCCCGCTTCCAGCAGCTGGCCGAGGCCACCAGGTGGTGCAAGGAGAGGCTGGTGAGTTGGGGGTGTTCCTTGTGCTGAGACAGGGACGTGGCCAGTTAGTTGTAAACTATAGGAAATGTTGAGAGTCAAAAACGGAAAAATGCGGAATGGTCCGAGTAAAAGCTTTGTTTGTTGAATATTGGAGTAAATTTTATTCGTGAGTCAGTTTTAAACTAGTTTGATATCACCTGTGATACCGCTATGATAAGCGTAGGGATAAAATGATGCAATCTTATGTCCTTGTTTTTGTGCAACGATTTAAGTGTGAAATAGCGACAAACAGACAGAATAGAGTTATTTTTATATTTTAAGCAACTATGGATTTATTTTGTAGTCATTGTATTTAGTGTCAATATTATAATAATTAATATGTGTATTTGTTATTTCAGAAAAAGCTCCACGAGGCCGAGTACGGTTCGGACCTGCCGTCGGTGCAGCACGAGCTGGACAAACACCAGCGAGAGCACAAACAGATCGACCAGTTCCATTCTAAGGTATATCTAATTCATAATTGTTTATCATACTAGTAATTTACCCTAGCTTCTCATAGATTCATCCCTAGATAACTTTTACGATTTGATAAAACAAAGAAAATATATTTTATTTAAGATATGATTTTGTTTTGTGTGTTCGCGATAATGTTTTTGAGCTATTTCTTCAGAACTGAAATGGATGTATAATAGATAGTAATTACATATAAGTGATATTTGTGCAATCGACTTTAGTAAAAATTACCATCCGCTAGGCTCGCCTCAAGATTGCCCGAAAATTTCATTAAAATCGCTTCAGCAGTTTTGGAGTCCATAGGGAACTAACAAAAACACACAATGATTTTTATATACATATATGTATAGATTTTTATCCTTTCTTTTTTTAATATCATTATGTTTTACAATTTTTTTTTATTGTTTGGTTTTTTTTTTATAAACAAAGTATGTTTATTCCAAAGGTGGAACAATGTGTTCTCAATCGATCTAACTTCACCGGTGATGAGTTGAACCTCTACAACCAACACTTGAGTCAGCTGCAAAAGCTATATGCTGAGCTGTTATCTTCCAGCACCAAACGGTAAACGCTTTCATATTTATTTATTAATCAGATTTAAATAATATGGTAAACAAATTATATTAGTATGTTCTAGGGTGGAGTGAAAAATAAAGGTAATATTTTATTATTGCAATTTTAAAAAAGTTGAAAAAATAACATGTTACTTTTTTGTATTAGAATGAAAGTTGAGTAGAAAATGTCTATATTCGTCAATTCAAAGATGATCACGCGAAAAAATTTTTTTTTCATTCAAACTACAAATTTAAATTGATTAGGTACTTATTTTAAAAATCAGTGGGCCACCTCAAAACGTTGAATATTTTTTTTATTTTAATAATTTTGTTTCTTTATAAGTTATAAATTCTACCACCAAGCTAAGAAAAAAACTTTTTTTTTCGCTCCACTCTCAGTTGTTGCGCATTGTGCGAAAAGAAATCAATAGATTTTAGTACCGAAGACAGTATAAAGACACGTAATATAACGCATTTAAAATTAACTGATTAAGTTTTTTGAAAAAAAGAGAATTTGGTCAAATTATTTTAATCATATTATAAATTGAAGTTCTCTTACAAGCTGAGTATACATTTTTCAGACTAATCTCAAAAACTGTGCGGATTTTCATTAATAGAGGAATAAAGATATAGAAAGAATATCGACTATAATTTAAAAATATTGCAAAAATAAGATACAGGTATAATGATATTTTTTATAAAGTACATTCGACATCATTCTATTTTCCACAGAATGACGGAATTGGACGTATTACAAGAATTCCTACAGTCGGCCACCGAGGAGCTGAACTGGTTGAATGAGAAGGAACAGATAGAACTGTCCCGGGACTGGGCCGACCCCCACATCAACCTGCCCGCCATACAACATTACTATGAGGTAAGGATAACTGTTACGGATAAAATCCATCCTTCATCCACACTTAGGATACAATCATATCGTTGTTTTACGGATAAAATTATTAGTCACCGTTTGAAAAGTAAATATTTGTTTAACCTAGTAATCCAGTTTTATTCTAGTAAATTAAATAATGAGAAAAGTAATTGTTGATTTTGGATCTCAATTAAAACGAGTTATTTGACAATATTTGGAAACATATGAAATGTGTAAGATTTGAAAGAATTAAATTTAAAAAGATAACAAATAAATTAAAAATATAATTTTATGTTAAGTGTTTGAGTTATTGTTAGTGGTTTTTTTTAAGAATAATTGATTGAAATTATTTTTAGAAAATAAATATTTTTACTATAGTTATGGACAAATATACGAACAAAATTCTGGAGAGTAGCTTGTGTGAAAAGGAAATTAAAATTTTTAAATTGTATATAAAAATGTAAATAGTTCGTAATTCATCACAAGTCAAACCCATCTGTCACAAAGCCACTGTTAAAAAATCCATATTTTTACTTTTGTTTAAATTTTTTGTGCAAGCATTCATTTGGAGACGATAGAGAGGTTTGTTTTACACCATTTCATTTAATTATATTTTATTTCGCTTTCATTTATCGCTTATATAATGTTACGTGCTGTTTAAAATTTAATATACAATAAAAAAGATGTATGCAAGTATTTATTTATTAAATAAATTTATTTTTATTAATAAATATAGACGATTACAAAGTTATTTGACGTCTACAATGTATAATATGACTTTTTTTAACTTGAGAACAATTCTTAGAAAAAAAATTGCATAAAAAGTGTAAAGTATTTATTACACGCAGTGCTAATTATACACATATTTTAACTTTTATTATATGTACATATAAATGCCCATTTTTATTCTATCACTTATTATTATATATGAAAACAATGAAAATTGAACCTTAATTCCATAGTAATAGAGTCGTTTTTTATAGCAACTGATGTCGTCATTAGAGAAGAGGGAATTGCAATTCAGCAACGTGATCGACCGCGGGGAAGCGCTCATAGCGCAACACCACCCGGCTATGAAGACTATCGAGTCTCATTTGCAGGTTAGTTAATTTTGAACCATATTTGTACAGAATTTCGGTATAAATTTGTTTGAAATTGGTTTAGAAAATACATATTTTTTGTGTGTTTAAGTTAAATTATATTAATTAAATATTGCAGATTTCTAATGATGAATGGTGTTTTTTATCGTCATATTACCTTTTGTTGTATAGTCGTCATATTACCATTTTTTGCTTATACTTTGTATGTCAAATAGTTATTTTTTATCCTAGACTTTATAAATTATAAGATAATTGACTATTTATTCTGTAAAAAACATATTCATTAATATTAAATTATTTTTCTATAGGTGATGCAATCTCAATGGGCCTGGGTACTCCAACTCACACTGTGTTTGGAAACTCATTTAAAGCACACTACACAATACCACAACTTCTTCGAACAAGTAAAGGAGGCAGAAAAATGGATTCAAAAGTTAGTATTTTTTACCAAAAAAAAAACAAAATTTTAATTAATTACAAGAGTGTAACATGAAGTAATATAAAATTTTATGGTTGAGACCGTGAATTAAAAATATTTTTGTTTTTTTTTACTCATACATGGCGTTAAAGTTCTTTTTAATAATTATAGTATTCAAACTCTTTGTTATGAAAAACAATGACCAATAAACTCATACGGAAATTCGTCAACAGACGCGAGGAGCAGCTGAACACAACGTTCTCGCAGTCGGAGTTCACGCTGGACCAGGGCGAGCGGCTACTGAAGGGCATGCAGGAGCTGCGCGAGGAGCTGAACGCGCAGGGCGCGGGCGTGACGCGCCTGGCCGCCGACGCGCAGGCCGTGCGCCCGCTGCGCCTGCGCCGCGCGCCGCTCGCGCGCCCGCTGCGCGCCGATACCGTTTGCGCGTACAAGCACGCCAATGTGAGTCGGCTGGGAGAGTAGTAACACGATAACTTTATTAAGATTATATAATAATAATAAATTACTTTATTCAAGTAATAGTGACTCATTTGGCTTATTATACATAAAAAATTAATTATATATTTGATTGAGGCAAAGCATCTATGACTAACGTAGAGTCGTGGACGCTTCCCGTGTGACTTTATGTTATATGTGTATAATTATTAATTACTTTAGTAGTAATTTAATTATTCGAAGTTATCTATTATATTTTATTATAGCTTACTTGTTCTAATATACATAATATATAACTTAGTAGGTACATGTCTAATTTTAGTGAATTTGGACATTGACATAGACAAAATTCAATTTGCACGTTATTAATTTTATTTTTATTATTTTAACTGGTAATTTTATAATTTGTTCATATTTATGGGTGGATAAATATCGTTTTTTTTTTAATTTTTTCTGGCGTGGGTCAGCTTTTCTTAACAATAATATTATTCCGGGCACCCAGGTGGCGATAGAGAAGGGTACATCAGTAACTATCCTGGACAACTCGGGGCGGTCGCGGTGGCGCGTGCGCGTGGGCGCGTCCGAGGCGGCGCTGCCGGGCGCCGTGCTGGCGCTGCCGCCGCCCTGCGCGCGCGCCGTCGACGCCGCCGCCGTGCTGCGCGCCGCGTACGACAGGGTGAGTGTTGTGCACACAACAGTCATAGTAGTACCGCACTATAAAAATATATACATTATAATGGAAATCGTCAAAATCAAATATATATTTTTTTAATTTCTTTTAAATATATATGATGAATAGTTTTAAGCTTAAGGTGTCTGTAGTGACTCTGGAGGCAGGTTAAAATTATACCTATCGACGTGTCAAAGTCGTTACCGGATTGGCATATTATAACAACTGTTATCCTGTCTTAAATAAATTCGTCAGAATTAATGGACTGTGCTACTACTGCATGTTTGTGAACTGTCTCGTTGGTCTAGTGGCTAGCGTTTAGGTATATAGATATGGTTCGATTCCCGGATCGAACCATAATAGTGGGTAAGTTTTTATATTTTAAAATACTTAGTTGTTATTAAGAGTTGAGAATGCAGCGGTATATATACTTCCGTGTCGAGACAACTTTCTTTAAAATAAAACTACTATTTATCAATGCGAAAATTTGTATGTGTGTTTATTACTCCTTCATGCTGTAACTACTATATAGATTTGGGAGAAATTTAGCACACTTTACTGTTAGGCACCTAGGGTCGCACGCACTCGAGAGAAGTAGTATTTTTATGCCTCGTTTTGCATTTTAAGTGTCAATAAAAATATTTTTACCATGAGGGATTCGAACTCACTAGTATTGTCTATGGAAATGCCACTAATCAGCAAATACAACAACTTATGTAGTATTACTGTAAAATTATTGTACTTATCCATACTAAAATTATAAATGTGAAAGTTTAGATGTTTGGATGTTTGTTACCCAATCACGCAGAACGGCGGAACAGAAATTTGTTGTTCCCGTGGGATAGATTTGTTTACTTTTTGAGTTAAATAAATAAAAAAAGTATAAATATCTGTGTAATATAAAATATCTGTGTGTATATAAGTTTATCAAATTATGTGATTTAAGATTTTTTGCTTATAAAATGATAAAATGCAATGTTATATTTATATTTAATAAAAGATCTATTTTTAAGTATGATGTAACTCATCTGCAGTATACTTTACATTCAATGAAATATAAGAAACGATAATTAAGATATTGTGTACATAACGATAAAATTATCAAGTTACGAACGAAAACAACCTATAAACAATGACAATTCTGTCAGTAAATCGATGAGTTTATTTCTGATTCATTCTCATCAGAACCGTCATGTGTGTTTGTGTGTGTTTGTGCACTGAGTGTTTAGTGTGTGCGTTGTGTTTGTTCATTTTGTTTGTTTGTCTGAAGGTCATACAACTATGGCAGAGAAAGCAGCTCAGGATGCGACAGAATATGATCTTTGCCACCATCAAGGTGGTGAAAGGATGGGATTTCCCACAAGTGAGTTTCTTACTTCATTTTTTGTATTTTTATTTATTTAAGAAATTGGTCGATATCTTTATATTATAAGTTTTTTTTGTGAAACTATTAATATTTACTAGTTGATTAAATAATCTTGTAATTTCTATACTTATTATCCGATGTTTATTATTTTGTTAGATTTATGACATTTTACATGTATCAATTTTTTTGAATGTTTTCGCGGGTTTGTTTTTATTATTTGTGATCTTTTTTGCTTTGAAGTATTAAAAAAAAAACAAAAAAAATAGATTTATATAAATTAAGGGAGTTCCAGCCCAGTGGTAACGCGCTCGCTAGGAAACCAAGTGAAACAGGTTCAAATTCCGGGACTCACACCTCTGATATTTTCATGTGGGAGTCATTTCTAACATGATTACCACTTACCTTACGGCGAAGGAAAACATCGTGAGGAAACCTACATATCTGAAAGAACTTAGCATGTTTTCAAAAGACATATGAGAAGTCCACCAACCCGTACTTGGCCAGCGTGGTGGACTATGGGCTTGTTCCCCCTCGTATTGAAGGGGGCCTCCCTTCAAGTTTCCATTCCCAAGATGTTAAAAAGGGCTGAATATATATAAAAAAATGTTATTTTTTTATTGTAATAATATTATTGTTTTTTTAAACTAGTTTGTAGCAATGGGCTCGGAACAACGTCAAGCCATCCGTCGCGCGCTCAACGAGGACGCGGAGAAGTTGCTGGCAGAAGGAGACCCGGCCGACCCTCAGCTGAGGCGGCTGAGGAGGGAGATCGACGATGTCAATAGATTGTTCGACGAGTTCGAGAGACGGGCCAGAGCTGAAGGTAAGTCGGTTTTGATAGAGTTTTTGCACAAGAAAGTACTAAGTTCAGGACGTAATAATGAAATTTTAAGAGTGGATTATTGATTTTGGTATCGAAGTCGGTGTACTTTTTTGTTGATATTTTGGTATCGATATTTTTTTAAAGATGATTGATTTTCGGGTTTTAGGTTTGTTTATTTTTAACTCACCTCTTTGTTTTTTTATTGATATTGAGAATATTGATTGTCATATTTATATATATGTACATACATAGTATTTGTATTGATATTGTCTTTTATTCCAGCATCATTAGTGTTATGTCTGTTGTTAGGAATATTTTAGAACAAAATTGTTACGTTTTTTAGATACCTATATAATAATATAACCTCATCAAAATACGTTCAGACGATTTAACACAAGATGGTTTAAACATCAGCAATGTTGAGTTTTTACCACAATTAAGACTTTAGTCGTGATCAATTACTTTAATTCGTAGCGATTTTGTTTGGCCTTCGCAGGTTTTAAATTGCTCTAGTTATTTTATTTAACGTCAGTCAGAAATATATTTTGTCTATATTCAGATTAATTTGTTACATATTCTAAAGAGGTTTTAGTACATTTTCTTTAATGTAGGAATATTGTTTTCTTTTTCCTTTAAGGAATCTAATAATTTCTTTAATTTTTGTAAAGTTTTGTATTTATATAACAAAATATTGCTAGTTTCAAACCAAAATATTTGAGAAAATCACGCCCAAAGATGGATTTTCGATTTATGTTTAATTCTTTTGTTTTTATTTTAGTTTATTTTGAACGTTATAGGTTTTGGTGATCGTAAATAAGTTCTTATATAAAAAAAACACAAAATTAAAGTCTCGCCATAAGTTGTTTTTTAAATATAATTGAACTTGAAGCATGTCAACAATTATCCTATTACTACGTCTTACATCACTAATTACAGCGTAGTGTTGTACCTTGTCTACACTAACATTCAATAATTGTGAGTAATTGGAAAATTACCCAATTTTTAGGGTCACACGAGTAATCAATGATAACGATTATTCTTTGCTAAAATCACACGGAACTTAAGTACTTAAATGGGACAAGTTCTCACTTCTAGACTTTCTTTTCCTTTAAAACTATTTATTATAACTGTTTGTTCTAGGTTTCCTTATTTCACTGTTTTGGTATTTTTGGAGTTTTTAGGCATTATGATTATTGCCCTGCATATTTGTATATTATGTTTTTTTTCTATATATTATCTTTTTTAGGTGACGTTACATAGATTAAAACAATCGAATATTTAGATATATATTCATAAGTGCTATTCTTATGCAGTGACACTGGCTGTAATACTGAAGACTTGTGGCTTTTTTCTTACAAAACTGTAACTTGAGACTGTTGATCCCCGCATTACGCAAAGACCACTGGATTTAAATTAACCTATTGCTTGATGGCATTAGTTTAAAATATAGCTAATATTTATAAATATACCAAAACATTTTAACAAATAAAATCTGTTCAACAGATTTCATTTACTCTTATTTACAAACACGCCATTATAAAGCATTATCGAAGCAAACCTACAAATTAAACCAGAGTTTGCTTCATTTTGTATTAAAAAAATATTTCAATTGTTCAGACATATACTATAGCGCCGTACTCGCTACGCTCTTGTACATCTATACGTATTTACATACATAAGTTACTGCAGATTATAGTCTATACATATCATAAAATTCTAAATGAGTCGAATCTGTATATTAAATATTTTTTGGAAAATCTTATTGAAATAGATATTATTATCGATACAGAGGCCGAATCTATAGTTTTTAGGTTTTTTGTCTGTCTGTCTGTTTATGTGTCTGTGTCTATGACCGCATCAAGAAAAACCACTCGACGGATTTCGATGATGATAGCTGGTTGTTTGGGTCAACATATAGGATACATTTTACTGCATGAAAATATCTCATCTCTGAGAAATCTTTACTAACCGTTAGAACGTATCTAGGGACTAACCCGAACGAAGCGAGGGTGAGTCGGTAGTCTGTTATAAATTTCATCCTATGTTCAGCAGTTTTAGTATGAAGAAGAAAGAGTAACAAACAAACACACACATACAAACATACAAATCTTTAAATTTAGAATACTAGTCCAATCGCTGTAAATATTAAAGTAGATTGTATTATCAGAATCCCTGTTTTGTACTTTCCATCGAATCTCTTTCGATGGAAAATACAAAACTTGATTTACAAATACAGAAGATAATTAATTCTAAGCACTATAGGTCTCTAAGTGGACGTACATACTACATATGTACGCTTAATTAACGTAAAGTCGTTCTCTACACTGTCAATTGTGCAATGAGTGTAGTGCACATTGTTTACTTATTGCTTGTGTCGTTAAGATATGGTCCGACAGATAGCGGGATTATTTGTGAGGGCAGTGCTTCTGTCCTGTCCTATATATTTATGAATTTGTTTAGTCCTTTTAATACAAAATATCCTATTTTTATACAATAATAAACAATAATAATATTTCAAAATCAACATACGAGTAGTTATTTAAAAAAAACTGCTTAGTTTACCTTTCCTACCTCAAAAGCTAACACTTTGATCTCAATTTATCTCGAAAAATAACTTATTCTACAACTTTGGTTTCTTTACAGAATTTTTTATAAACGTTATGCTATTATATTTATAGAATTTCTACCGTATTTCTGTTTTATTCATCTAATCTGATTCATCATCTGCGAACTATCGCTAGAAAGCTTAAAACTCATAGCCGCACACATCTGAGAAAATATCGCTTATTTTTAAAAGACAGCAATATCGATTTCAAAAATAAATTACACGTCATTCGTATGAATAGTAGGGATATATCAAAAGTTTATGTGTAACGGCTCTCCGATAAGGGACAACGTCCTACGGAAATTGTTAGTCCTTGTTCCAATAGCTTAGCAAGCAGTCTTTTGCCAAGACTTGGTTGAAACACCAAATTTTCTATACTATAAGTGTCCAATCGATTTTTTCAATCGATTTTTCTTTAATTACTTTTTAAATAGAAAATTTGCTTTATCGTAGAATGTGGTTAGCTCGATAAAGTACTTCGTCCTACGGGAGCTGTCAGTCACGATCACCATGTCGTAGTAAACAGTCATTAGTGAGGCCAATTTAAGTTTCATTTGTGCTCTCCAAGGCAGATGTGGTGTCCAGTTTTGTTTTCCTGTGTCTGTTTAGTGTTTTATTTCATTGAATTAAGCGCGCGAAATAATTTGGCACCAATTTTGTGTCCAATATTTTTGTAGGCTTTAAATGGAGAATTAAAAAATAATTTAAATGTCAGTTTGACGTTTAAAATATTTTTTTATATACCTATTCTTTTTTTTCACATTAAATGTGTTTTTTTTATTTATTTCAAGCAAACGACAGTGAATGAGTTTAAATATTTTTATATTTACAATTTTTCTACTTATATTAAATTATAAGTTTTTTAAATAAATTCTTATATTATATATTAAAAAATAAAGTGTTATTTATACTTCTGTAAGTAAATAAACTTTAAGACGAATGTTCAAAGGAATTTGTGCCTTATTCAGTTAAAATAAGGACTTAATACAACAATGAAGAAAATAAAACGAATATTCTCATTCGGGAAAGGTGGTGAGTAATTTTGTATGGAAGATGTTGTACATGATTTGGCTGTCATAATTTATATTATATACATAAAGTTTTATTGTATACTAGCTAGTCACCCTCGCTAGGCCCCGGTTCGTCTCTAATTACGTTTTAACGCTTAGAATAGATTTCTCAGAAATGAGATATTTTCCCGAAATAAAAAATATCCCATATATTGCCCGGATAACCAGCTATCATCATACCAAATTTCATCAAAATCTGTCCAGTGATTTTCCCGTGTTGCGTTTCCAGACAGACAGACAGACAGACAGACAGGCAGGCAAAAAATCTAAAAACTATAGATTCGGCCTCTGTATCGATAATAATGTTTATTTCAATAAGATTTTCCAAAAAATATTTAATGTACAGATTCGGCTTAGTTACAATTTTATTATATGTATAGATAGACTGAGACTAGATATTCTGCCAAACAATTGCTATTTAATTTCGTTCGAAGTTCGATTTCATGTTTAGTTAAATACTTATTCATTTTAACTGGATAGACTTATCGATATTTCTTATTAAATTCATACTTTAAAGTGATATATAGGAACGTACATACATACATACATGTACATACATAAAACGAAGAAACCAAATTAGTCAGACTCGTAAACAATTGTTAAACATTTCACAGCGTTTTATTAGCACGCTTAATGTGACGGAGCTAATTTTGATATCATGATTATTATTGGCAGATTTATGAGGGTAGATACTTAAAGTACTTACAACGTATTTAATATCGAAAAATTGCTTTTATTTCGAATTTAATTAATTTAATAGGAATTATATGATGATAAAGTATTATGAGGTAGGTGGAAAGTCTGAGGCCATTACTATTGGTTTTCCATGGGCTGTCAGGGGATTCGTTTTGGGATGGGATGGGATATTAAAATTTTTACTGTTAAAGAGCAACACTTCTATTTAATCTATACATATAATAACATTTTGGCTAAGTCGAAAGTACATTAAATATTTTTTGGAAAATCTTATAGAAATAGACATTATTATGGATACAGAGGCAGAATCTATAGTTTTTAGAATTTTGGTCTGTCTGTCTGTGACCGCATTAATATTATAAATTAATTTTATTATAAGTACAGATTAAACAATTTTAATGAAATTATGGTATGATGATAGCTGGTTATCCGGGTCAACATATAGGATACTTTTTACTGCGGGAAAATATCTCATCTCTGAGCTAAACTTTAACACGTAACTAGGGACGAACCCGAGCGGAGCAAGGTGAGTCGCTAGTGGCATATAGGTACATACATTATACATATGCATGTAAGTGCCATGTCAGTAATTAACTTTTTAATATTAAAAATAACTGTTTCTATATTAT